AATATTTATTAGAAAAAATGCTTCTGCATAGATATATATCTTAGATTTTACAGACAATGTTCATTTGGAGTATTTCCTTTCCTTTGCAGCTGCTCCTTAATTGATGTTTCAGAAAAAAAAGACATCACCTATAAAGGTATTCCCGGTAAACCCCTTCTCTATTATGGTGTGAGCCTTGTCTGACTCACAGGTCTTGCCAAAGATGAATGCTGCCAGCCCCTGCCAGACTAGGGATTCCCATGAGAATATTAGACAGAGGTGTATATTTGGGTGAGAACTGGCCAGTTTCCAAAGGCAGGGTCAAAGAAATCTGTATTAGTCTGGGTACTCCAGGGAAACAAGGGAGGTAAGAGATAAAATGGCAATGTGTAAGTCAAAGTCTTATTTTGCAGAAAGTTTTAGAATTTGACATACCCATGGGAATAAACAAATAAATGAGCAAGCCCAATTCTAAAGTTTGGATGACAACTTGAAAGTAGATCACGGGAGTTAGAAAAGACCTAGGACAGGTGTCAATCCTTTCATCATGATGTCCTGGAGACCTCACTTCTCCCTGAGGCCATGAGGAAAGGGTTAGGATAAAGGGACTGCAGAAAGAGCAGCAGAAGGGATTAGAAGGAAGTCAATAATTACGTTCTCTGTTTAGTTTTGTCTTAAGTATTAAAATTAACCAGCAAACATTCATAGAGACAAAGTTCAGTTTGGAACCTAGCTCAATCACTAATAGCTATGCAATTTTTGGCAAGTTAGTTAACTTCTCTGATCTTTAGTTCTCATAGACGACACAAATACACAGATGAAGTAAAACCCTAATGAAATGAGCATTCACATTTGATCACCCTCCTGGTGACTGCCTGCTAGTTTTCACTTGGTTCCCTTTCCCAAATGAAGGTGGGCCCAGTAGGATTGGGATTTCAGAAGTGATTGCTTGCGATCATTTGGGACTCTCTCAGGTCAGGGTGTTGCCCCTTGTTCACAGTGTATATCTCAGTGTCTTACATTTGGTGCTTCTTTTGTGACAGAACAGACCAATTTAAAAGTATCATTTTTCATTAACTTGGCAATGATACAACCCTGTATTTTCTGTAGTTAAAGTATCTGAGTGCACTTTTGATGTTATGGCAATGTTTTACAATATTTACCTTATAGGGCAAGGCAAGGCAGGTCTAGGCTCTGTGGGTCTTGAGGCTTGTACCATTTGGAGGATCTTCTTAAAGGAAAAAATTATATATATATTAATATTATATATTATATATATGTATTATATATATACATATATATGTATAATACATATATATTATATATTATATATTATATATATGTATTATATATACATATATATGTATAATACATATATATTTTATATACACACACACACACACACACATATATATATATATATATATATATATATATATTGCAAGCTCATCTTCCTTAAAGGAAAGTATTTCATGTGTGCACACAGGTGTTGAAAATCTTAAAGTCAAATACTATATATACACACAATATTTCTGAGAGGCCATTAGCAAGTATGGCAGACCATACTTTGCTCAGATTGTTGTGGATGCTTTAAGGAAATACAGTTGACGTTGGGGGCAAACTTGATATCACAAGCCAGGGAAATCTTTAACCTATTTCAGAAGAGAATCATTCCTTCTTAGGACTTCGGATTGACTGGCCATCATTAAGGCTAAATAAATATTCAGAATTAAACATTGCAGCAAATGAGAAGCTGGAAGTTCACACACACACACATATACACACACATACACGCATACATACACACACACAATTAGGTATGAAAGAATGTTTATTATGTTTATTTAGAATGTTTATTTAGAATCTGAAAGAGAACTATGCATTTTTAACAAGCAATTTAAAAACAGGGCTTTCTTTGGAAGGAACCCTTGTAAATGAATAGCCCTGAAAACTTAAATTTCATTAGCTTCACAAGACATATACTTCTGGGGCTGGATGAGAATTAAAGTAGATCATGAATGGAAACACTCAATACCTGGTATTAAGACTTTCTCTTCAGCAAATGTTAACATTAGTATTCTTAGTACTGTCAAAGCAATCAATAATGATTATCTAGGGCACCTGGGTGGCTCAGTCGTTAAGCGTCTGCCTTCGGCTCAGGTCATGATCCCAGGGTCCTGGGATCGAGTCCCACATCGGGCTCCCTGCTCGGCAGGAACCCCGCTTCTCCCTCTCCCACTCCCCCTGCTTGTGTTCCTGCTCTCGCTATCTCTCTGTCAAATAAATAAATAAAATCTTTAAAAAAAAATAATGATTATCTAGCAGCTAGTATCAAGTGACACTGGAGGGTGTGAGAGGTTTGGGGGGCTGTTGGTGATGGATCATAGCCTTCCCACATCATCTCCTTTGTCCTCTCCCTACGAGAGCTGCTCTCTGCATCCTGGCAGGCAGTAGGAAAAGATGTCATGCAGAAGTAACAAGTAAAGAGAGGCATCCCAGCCCCCTGGCTTAACTACCAGTCAACCTTGCGAAATCAGATGTCAAAGCTATGCAGGGCTAAAAAGGTAAGAAATTGACAACAGAACCATTTCATAGGGATAATAGCCATAAATATAAGTATAATACAATATAACTGGCAAAATATGCATATAAATAATTATGGAAGTACCAACAAAATGAAAGTAAGGAATTAATTCTGTCCAGTAGCATTAGAGAAGGCTTCTAGAGGAAGAGACATTTGAGTAAAATTCTAGACAGGAGGAATGACACACAAAAGGAGTTATATAGGAACAAGTGTGGGCCAAGTGAGATAAGTAGTACCCTTAACTTAGGTGGGGTGACAGGAGATGGAACTGCAGAGGTAGCTTGGACTGGAGTTTTCTACCATGTTAAGGTGTTTGGTCTAAGGGAAAAGGGAGCTAATCAGGCATTGAGTTTTATGAGCTTTGTGAGAACAGCCTTAGGGAAGTTGTGCAAGGGTCACTCATGGAGGGGTAAAGTCTACTGTGAGGGAGAGTACCCTTGTGTAAGGCTGCACAGGCCATGTACTGGACAACTCTATGGGAGTATCATCCTTATAGACTATGACAAGAACCCTCTTTGAGTTTCACATCACTCACAAGGACAGTAACCCAGATGAGAGATCATGAAGAACCCAACCAAGTCAAGTCAAGGATACGAGAAGAATGAAGACCAGATACCAGCACCAAGAAATATTTCTGAGAGGCCATTAGCAAGTATGGCAGACCATACTTTGCTCAGATTGTTGTGGATGCTTTAAGGAAATACAGTTGACGTTGGGGGCGAACTTGAAATCACAAGCCAGGGAAATCTTTAACCCATTTCAGAAGAGAATCATTCCTTCTTAGGACTTCGGATTGACTGGCCATCATTAAGGCTAAATAAATAATCAGAATTAAACACTGCAGCAAATGAGAAGCTGGAAGTTCAGGCTGTTTCACATTGAATGCTCAGGATACTTGTGAGCACTTCCCCACCCAGACACTTCTTGTTTGGAAAAACAAAAACAAGACAAAATAAACAGACGAACAAAAACATCATTTGTTTCCATTTAGAGAGAGTTCAAGAAAATAGCATTTGTCTTATTTTTCTCACCAGTTTCATTTACTACAGATTTATGGAATTCATGTTCACATTACCTTTAGGGCCCAAAGAAATCCACAAACATAATAGAATGCCAAAACACAGAAGGAAAGTATCAAGTGTCTGTGGAAAACCATTCTGCCTATTCAGTTAAAACCAGTCTTCACCTCCTTCCTCTCGATCTATTTCTAGTCACCAGTTACCTGGACTTAACTGAACTTCTAACAAAGCCCCAAAGCTATAATATGTCACTGACTTGAGATTTTCTTGTGACATTTATATCAAAATGGAATTCTCTTGTCTTTAGCCATATCACCCAAACTCAAAATAAGACTAATCTGTTTATCTCTAATCCCCAGCAAGTTCATGGTTCATGGTCTGTCATTTCTTCCTTATCAGATCAATTATCAACAACCAGAAAAGAGTGTCAACTGCTTGAAAACATTGGTCTTTTTACCTCCCTATCTTATAGCCTTTATTTTCCTATCATCACATGGCTCTCTGATATTTGAAAGACCTAATAGAGGTTGCCATTTATATTGTAACCTCCTGGGAGCTTTTCAGAGATACAGGACCTCAGGCTTTCCCCTAGACCTACAAAATCAGAATGTACATTTCCACAAGATTCCAGAGGCCTCTTGCACACAGTAGCATCTGATCTGCTTCGTGGTAAATGAAGCTACCCAGGCACAAGGCTGTTGAGCTGCTTTAGCAAAACTACCTTAAACACACACACACACACACACACACACACAACTAATAAGCCAAAGAGAGTGTACAAGTTTTACAAACAGAAATAATTTGGCCCCAGGATGGTTCATAAAAAGGATGAAAAGATGAGCCACTCAGAAAAGGAAAAAAAGACCACCAAGAACATGGGAAAATGCAGGCTCCAATTAGAAGCATTGAAGTTTCCAAGTTTTGAGGCTGATTCCAATAATTCAACTCTTAAAGACTGCCCACAAAATACAGAGAATTTGGTTCCTTCTCCTTATTTGCATAAGTAAATACCTTCCAATGAGGGCAATATTCATCTCGTATCATATTTTAAGATGATTATAGGCAATCTCAGGTGGTTAAAGTCATTTAGCCTTCAGCCTTGTACCTTATACCCCACCTGAGGCATGCTGAGCTCCTTGGAAATGGGCTGCCTGTTGTGCCTTACTGCTTAATTATTATATTAACATACTGAAGCTTCCTTTGAATTAGCTCTTCTCTGTGAGTGTGTTTATTCTATAGAAAAGCCCTTCAGTGATTTGCAATGAAGGTAATTTTTCTTGTCAGCTTACTTCAAAAATCCAGTAAGTATAAATCCAGTGCAATTTGAGTTTTGCCAACATTTTGCTTCCATTTCATTCTGTTTTGTTTCCTTCACATCCTTTTCTTTTTTTTTTTTCTTTTTTCCCCCAAACCCCAAGTGCAAATCTTCATTGTCTGAATGCAAAGCAGACTGCAACCTTTCTCAGAATACACAGCGCTGTTTTGCTGCTCTGGTTCCTTCGTTACTGGGCACCTTTGCCCACAGTGGGCAGAATCCAGCCTGCCTGGTAAGACTCCGTCAGGGCACACTGTGAACTTTGGCCCGCTTGGCAGAGATTTGCTCATCAACTAATTGAAAACTGACAAACGTTCATATCTGTAAGTATAAAGCAAGTGAACAAAAGCTTTTTTGGAGCATTACGCATATAAAACTGTCATCCCCAAATTCATAGTCATCTTTATACCTGCTCCCTAAATCTAAACCTGTGGGGTGCTGGCAAGAATATCTTAGAAAAAAAAAGAGAGAGAGAGAGAGAGCGAGAAATGGAGTATTCTGTGGCATGGCATTCCACGTCAACATCCACTTCTCTGGTGAGAGCCCTTACAAGTATGAAGTCCTGTTTCTAATTATTTTAGCCACACCCCCACAATGCGTCCTCCTCTTTAAAAGTTTAGCATATGGTAAGGACTAAAGTTAAAGTATAAATGTTGATTTTATTTGAGCTACATGCATACCCTCACGATTTTTTTATTGTTTAAGATTCAGGGGGAAGAACTGTCCCCCCACAGGCTGTACGTTTAACCAGAACAGGAATCAATTTTTATTCATCTTGGTAGCCTCCTCCCCCAAGTACTCGGACTGGAGATTGGTACCTCATCTTGTGCTCCACGCTGCTGAATTGTGAACCTACTACCAACTTTGCATCAAGATGTTCAAGTTTCTTTTTAGCTGTCTCTGACAGGAGAACAGCAACAAGGAAAAAGGAAAAAAAGAAAAACATCACAACAGCAAAGACCTCTACCCCCAAAGAAAGGAGGTATTTTAGCTTATTCATCTACACCTGCCACCCAAAAAATCCCTTCATAATCGTTCTGTCCTAACACTGTAAAATGTTTCCAGAAATTTCTCTCTGTAAAAATGCCTTCTAAATGAACTATAATCTTTTTAAGATCATTTATGTGTAGGTTTTTATTTTTTTTCAGTACTTTATCTTGTTTCCTTTTCTGAGCATTACAAACTCAGCCCAGCACCTCACCCACATGGGACAGTGCTTCAGATGCACGATGTCATTTTTCTGACGAAGGGTTACTGTCAAGTTAGACAAAACGACTTTGGTAATGCAAGATCTCGGGGGAGAAAGCAGAAGATAAATGAGCGGTGGCTACAGAACCACAACGTAACCTCATTTTAATCACAAGTGTTCACCCCTCAATGTGCCAGGCTGATAGGTTGGTGAGCAGACTCAGAATAGGTCAGCTCCCCACCAAGCTCAAATCAAGTGGTGGCAGCTAGAGATATGGTGGTGGAGTTTGGTGGTTACAAACACCGGCTTTGAACTCAGACAAGCCTGTGGTCCCTGGGTTATCTTGTGTGGCACTAAAAACAAAACACAAAGGATATTAAGAACAGAACCCTCAGGAAGGGTTATTCCAATAAAAGGCAATGAGAGGGGTAACAAGCATCAGGGAAAGAGGAAAAATCAGCAACGGGATTCATCATCAACCTTCATCTTCAACCTTCAGGTTTCAATTCTCCGTTAACTATTTTTTATCCCTATTTCAATGCAACTGAATAATAATTGAATGCCTACTTTCTGTTAGGCATTAAGGTCTCTGAGCTCCACACAATCTGACTGGGAAGACAGGTCAACTTAAATAAAATAACTACAGCAAAAGCGAGACAAAACTTGGCAGAGATGATATGCATAGAGTGTAAAACACAAAGGTGCAGTAAATCTGACTCTAAAGGAAGGCCACATTCAAAGTGGGCCTTCAAGCAGAGGAAGAGTTTGCCAAGCAGACAAGGAAGGAAAAGGATTCCAGGGGAAAAACGAAAAACAGAGCCTGAGAAAGGTCAGGGGTGAGCGCCGTAACCCCCTGGTTCCAGGGTCAACTGTAATTAATTCACATTTAAATTTAAATAGCTACATGTGGCTGGTGGCTATCATATTGGACAGTGCAGGCCTTCAATTAACATTTATTCTGTCACTTTGTTTTGGTATAGCCCTGAAACAGAATTTTTTTTTTTTTTTAATGCGATCTCGGGACAAATAAAGAGCTCTAGAGTCAAATTACTTGAATTCAAATTTAGGTTCTTCTTTTACAAGTGATTTGACCTCAGGAATTATGTTTCACTACTCTTTGCCTCGGTTTCCCCAATTGGCAAAATAAAAGTACTTACCCCTATAGGACTGTGGGGAGGAATAGTGCCTGACATATAATATTTGTGGTACATGTCGGCCGTAATTACGATTTGTGAACATATCGTCTCTAACACCATGCTACTGTTTGTGAATATATGCAATCTCCAATATCAGGTATTACTTAGTTTACTGTGAATAAACACATAAAATGAATCTTCACAATCCTCTAACAAAAAATAATGTAGTCAGTATCACTAGTCCATTTCCTACACGGCAGCTTCACAAGAAGCTTTTTCTTTGAAAACAGACAAGCCATTAGCTGGAACATCTTTTTCTTCCCCCAGTTTCACATCAAAGTTTTGCGGGGCTTTTTTTGCAATATTTCAATCATAACTTTGATGATCATTCTCATGAAAAAGACCAGGACAGTGGCGTTAACTAAATGTGTAAAGTTTGCGAGTGTTCATCCAAAGCTATTGTTACTTGAAAGATGAGAATAATACGGCCTCGCTCCTAAGGAAAATAAATGTTTCCATCCCCTACCTGTGAGTACGAAGATATTTTATTTGCCCAGGCTACACCATAAACTGTATTAGTCTCCTCTGGGGGAATAAGTGTAGTTTAGTTGCTGACATTAAAAGTAAAGCAGTCTTTTCATTTAATATAGACTGAGATAAATTCAGATTAAATATATATTGTGTAAATAAAAATGGTTATAACATTTATTACAAGAACAGCACACAAGACTATGACTTTTCTGCACTTCTACCATCACACACAAATATGAGATTTTAAATCGGGGACTCAATTGAACATGATACAGCATATTTGAGTTATACATCTTCCTTTTCACAATATATTATTGATCTACTCTCACTATAGTTTATTTTCTTCCTCAGGGGAGACTAAGAACTTCCTTATCAATTTGTTCAAAGTTTTAATGACTACCATAGCTTTGTCTGACTTTAATATAACATAATATATTCTAACACATCAATCCATAGTATCCTGCCCATCCCTGTTCTAAATATCACTCCTCTTCATAATATGATTCAATTTAAGGAATCTTTCCAAAGATTGATCTAAATAAATAGCAGGTAGGTTTCAGGCAAACAAATGAATTTGCATTGCTTTATATTTATCATAAATTTTTCTCTTAATTACCAAGGTACCTTGTTCAGAAACACAAAAACAGCATTATAAATTAATTGGCACTGTTCCTGCTGATTCTTTGGAACTTTTGTGGAATGTAAAAGCCAAAAGTAAAAACAGCCTGCAGAACCCAACCAGAGCACACATTATATTTAAACACTAAAGTCTACAAACATGTCATAGGATTATTTGTGGAACACATTTTGAACCACCAAAATCTTGTCATTGATAGGTGGGACCCTATTTATTTTCAAATTCAAGGTCAAAAAAACCCTGCTCCCTTCTGTTTCTTTTGTTGTATATGACCCAAACAGACAAAAACCCATATTCTCTTGAAAGCAATTAAAGGACATACTTTTCCTCCCATTGGAGAATAATAAAATTGTAATATTACTAAAATGTAACAACATATTTTCAAAAATGGGGAAGGTCACGGACATGAAATAAATGTAGTCTCATCGCATAAATATTACAAAATCCGGCATTCACTGTAAAAAATTTAAGTCCATTTATTATTAACCAAAAGCAAAGGTAACACATTTTTACTTAACTACTTGTAACTCTATAAAAAGGCTCTTTTCTTAAATTATTACTTCCAAATAATTGATAATTTTGTAATATTTCTTTTTTTTTGTTTGTTTTTTTATGGATACTTTATTTATTTTATTTTATTTTATTATGTTATGCTAATCACCATACATTACATCATTAGTTTTTGATGTAGTGTTCCATGATTCATTGTTTACGTATAACACCCAGCGCTCCATTCTATATGTGCCCTCTTTAATACCCATCACCAGGCTAGCCCATCCCCCCACCCCCTCCCCTCTAGAACTCTCAGTTTGTTTCTCAGAGTCCATAGTCTCTCATGGTTCGTCTCCTTGTCCGATTCCACCCCCCTTCATTTTTCCCTTCCTACTATCTTTTCTTTTTTTTTTAACATATAATGTATTATTTGTTTCAGAGGTACAGGTCTGTGATTCAACAGTCTTACACAATTCACAGCGCTCACCATACTACATGTGCTATGGTGATAATTTTGTAATATTTCTAAGTGGAGGCAAGGTAGCATCAAAGAAAATAGTAAAAGTTCATAATTTCTGAGCATAAATCTAAAATAGCAAAGTGTCTAAATTTTATTAAGTAAATCCATAGTAGTTTGTGGAAAAAAATGAACTTAAATGTAATTCCTACAGAGCATGTGATATAAATACTAAATTAGTTTCCTAAACTTAATGCTAAAGTTCATTTTAAATGTATAAATTCTTCAGTATGTATTATTTAGGTTTTCGTCAAATCATTTTAATTATATATAATATCATTATTTTAAAAAATTGAACTTTTTCATTATTAGACATTAAAGTATCTGTTAATTCTTTTACTGAAATCTCTGCTAAAGCAAGTTGTTTTTATTCTTGGTGAACTAACAACAGCCTGAAGGAATTAGAGCTGAAAAGAAAAGTGAAGAAAAACAAAAATATTTTGTTTGACCAAGTAAAAAGCACCAAAAGTGGTTTGGTTTAAATGATGTACTAATTCGTAAACTAGGTCTAATTCTTCCTGATTTAAACAGCTGGGATTTTTTTTTTTTTCCCCTGAGTAGCTGAGGAATCAGCTTAAATCCCTCTAATGCATACATCGTATCTTCAACATGCCTTTTTTGGCAATACTAGTGTATTTTTACAAAAGGAATATAGGAAAACAGAATGCTAGTTACACGAAAAAAAATTATACCATGGATGCTTTGTATAACATGTGTCCATGCATTAGAAGTGAGTATATGGGCAACATTCCAATGAAACTAAGAAGCAAATCGTAATCTCTTTTCTGAATTGAGGACTGGGGCCCCTGGTCTCATTCTTGATTGACACATCTGAACCTGCTGAAACAAGAAAGAGTCGATTGGTAGATTTCTCAGCTGCAGTTCATGGTAGCTGACCCAACTGACCATTGGTTGGTCAATAATTGAGCTATCACATTGACTATAAGGAGAAATTATGGATTATTTTCCCCTGAAAAGTATAAAAATTGGAAGCTACGTTATAAAAATATATATTAAATATCTATCTATCTAGATATATATATATATATGACCGTATATATATTTGCTCATAGCATAGGTTGTTAGAAGCAGGAGTATATAATATAGGATATTTCATATTTCATATTATCTGCTCCTTTAGTATTGTTGAGCCTTTGCCTAGCTCCTTGGTCAACATGTGATTTCTGGTTCAATGACAAAGCACCACCAACCAATCCCACAAACTGAATGACATTCTACCACCTAACCCGGATCCTCTGCTACTCAGAAATATTCCCATTCATCTCTTCTGCACTGCCTATAACAGTCCCATGTAGCTGTTCTGTCCCATCTGTCTTAAATCTTCAAACCCCTTCAATTCACTTCATTCTCCTTACTGTGACTCTAGTCTTTCTTTCCTGAGAAGAATAAGCCTATACAATATGTGCCCTTAAATTCCCTTTCCTCCACCTCAAAACTATCACAGTGTCATTTTTTCTCCTCTGGACTCCATGTCTGCAGCTTTAAGGGGAAAAGCATAAAATATTTTTTCTCAAAATTCAGTTCTGTCTCTTGTGCTTTTTATCCATCTAATCCCACATCTTCTATTCATTCAATCATTCATTCATCCAATCAGTTGCTTACTAGGTCAGTCAACAAATACTTACTAGGTACATATGTAGTACAGCAGTTTGAAGCCAGTGGGTTCTTCTTTTTTTTTTTTTAAGATTTTATTTATTTATTTGAGAAAGAGAGAGAGAGAGTGGAGGGAGAGGGACAAGCAGACTCCCTGTTGAGCAGGAAGCCTGACATGGGGCCCCATTCCAGGACCCCTCGAGATCATGACCTGGGCTGAAGTCAGACACTTAATGGACTGAGCTACCCAGGTGTCCCCAGAGGTGGGTCCTAATACCTCTTCTATCATTTTCTAGCTACACCAGTGCAGGCAAGCTTCTTAATCTCTCTGGCATTCAGTTTTGCTCAGCTATAAAATGAGTAATAACTTCATCATGTACTAGCATGAAGATGAAATGAGAAATGGCAGATTAAACATTTAATACTATACTTAGCACATAATAATCTTTGTGGCAAGCAAAATGCTAGTTTCTGTGGGTTTATAGTTGAAACACGTGGCTCTAATCCTTGAGGATGATTTTTTTGATATATATGTGTCTATATGTCTGCGTGTGTATGAATATATACACACATACATACATTCATACATATAAAACCTCCTCACAGTTTGAGTAGTGCAATATAGTATGGAATACATAAGTGGAATAGACAAGTGGCATAACTATTACAATTGAAAAGTAACATTTATCCCTATTTGAAGACTGTACACCTGGCAAATTCAGAGGAATCAACTTTAAGTTATAATTAGTAAAGATCTAAGCTGAGATGCCAAGTACAAATAAATTTACAAAAGTTTATAGTGTTTCTATATTATTTAATGCCCACTTAGAGATGAAAAGGATTTTATTTATGATTACTAGAAAAATATAAAATACATAGGAAAAAATTTGACATGAAAAACAGACCTATATAAAGAAAACAATCAAATTTCGCCAAAGGATATAAAAGTTTGCAATAAATTGAAAGATAGCCCCCTTTCCTGGGTATTATAATAGCTAGAATATCCTGAGGTCAGAACAAAATCCCAATGTGATTTGTTTTATACTTAAAAGATAAATTCAAAAATGTATCTGAAAAGATAAATAACGCAGGAGTGAAATTGGAAATTTGAAAAATGCAGACATATGATGGGAAACTTTTCTTACTAGATATTAAGAGGTATTTTAGAAGTATGATAATTAAAATAACATGGAACTATCCCCCAAATCATCGGACAGGAAATGGAATAGAACAGATATTTCAGGAGCAAGTCATAATTCATAGGCAAACATTTAGGATACAAGAAAGGACCTAATCCGTCAATGGAGAAAAATATAATTTAATAATTATTTCACTATCTGGGACTTTTTAAACTAAATTATATATTTATCTCATCAATAAAATTGACCATAAAATATTTTTTAATTCTTACATCGACTATCTCATATCAAATAACACAGAAGGTAAGAAATAAGATGTAAAAATATTTTATACATATCAATTGTGGTCCTAGAATATGAATGCTTCATGCAAATCAATAAGCAAAACCTAAGACCAAATTACAGGAACAATCAAGTAACAAAAAGAATACAAAGTGCTAATAAGCTTGTGTAAAACAATGTATAATCTTACTTATCACAAAGGAAAATGAACTGTAAGATACCC